ACCCCCCTCAATAAAACACTGCTTTATGAGTTTACACCCATTTGTACAATTAGGACATATTATCCTTTCCTCTGGCATGTCAACCATGCTGATTTATGTATGATCTGAGTAAATGTATCTGATTTACTGATCTACACAGATGCGTACTAATTTTGAGAAAAAAAGAAAGTAATGCAATAAAAAGTCCTTCCTTCTGAAGTATCTGCCTTGTGGGGTTTAGCTGTTCCCTCTTGTTTTTAGGGCAGCTGCGATTACAGGACGGATAAGAAAAACCATATCTGTGGAATGCCTGGGTGGACGCAAGAGCACGCAGTGTCTCGATTAGGCCGTATGCAACCGTGAAGCTCAAAAGGCCAAAGGAGCAATGTAAAAAATAAATAAATAAGCCAGACAGGGAAAAAAAAGGGGGGGGGGGTGTCAGAGGATATTGGATACCTCCGCATAGGAAGAGATGAGAGGAAAGGTTGAATATCGGCTAACGCTCTTGGGCAGATTTGCCTTGTCAGTGAGTCGGGTTGGCCCAATTAGAGATGTAGATGACAAAGTACACCTGACTATCTGTGTGGGCTTTGTGTGAGAGTGCTGCTGTTTGCCGATATCCTGAAGGCATGGGATTCATTTTTCAAGGATCTCTCCATCGCAACTTTCCATTCAAACTTCCTGAAACCCGGCGCACACATGCACACACCGCAGCTCACGAAGGCTAATCACCAAACTAGAAGGACTCTGCCGTGCAGCTGTGAGGCAGATCCATGCACGGCGATGCATTCAAGTGCTTAGCTGTCATAACGATGGTGTCCATAAAGAAACAACAGAATTCAAATGTAACAGATTTAGAAAACTGACAAGGTTGATCATGGAGAGCAAATTGCCAAGTTACAAGTCCAGGATCGAGTGAGCAGCATCAGCATTCAGATGGAGTTATCCTCCAGTGTGTTTATAAGTATTTCGATGTCTAGTGGGTAAGTTCAGAAGTTTTCCCCTTACTGCAGGTAAAAATAAAGAAGTAAAGCACCCACCACAAAGGCCAGTGTTAAGTACCAACTACAAGGTATAAAATCCAAAAATCAAGCCAGTGTCTGATCATATCCTCAGAACAGATTTTTTGTTTTGTGTGGACTTAACCACAGAGTTACAACAAAAGAGGCACAGGTCATGTGATGCACCTGTTATTTCGCATTGCCGAATGAGTCGTATTCGGGCAGCGAATCAAAGAGAAGCTGTTGTCCCTCAGTTTCACAAAAACAAAGAGACCCCAAAAAGCAATCCGGCACGCTGGGGAGAGCTGCCAAACCTCATAAACCGCGTATGTTTGTTTTCTCACAGTTCTTTGGGGTTTAGTCAATAACTAAAAACTCTAATGTGCAATAACCAGTGAGAGAAAATGGGAAATCAGGTCTCCTCGGGTTTCTGAAATAATGGCTCTCACTTCAAAAGGTATGGCTTTTAAACGTGGGAACCGAATGAAAACTTCTTCAATTTCATCTAAAAGTAAAACTTTGGACTGGACATGACTGGACAGATATTAAGTAATAATAAGAAAATCAACACAAACACTGATCTGCGTTGTATTTTCTGCAGGTAAACAAAATGCAATTGAGGATATCATGGCTCTAAATCTAGAAATTAGAGCAGCAGCAGCATTGGTCCTGCAACAGGGCAGGTGCCAGTGGTGTCTCCACTGATGGGCAGCTTGGTATCTGAGCATCATCACAGCAGGAAATGTCAGAGAGCAAAGCACCCCGAGTCATTCAGCCCACTCGTCTTCCACCTGACATAATGTTACCGTCATAACCAAATGAGGGTTGAAGAGGAGGTGGGTCGCGTCAGACCACTTGGCTGGCTTTATCAGGGAAAGTCCTATCCAAACTCCAACTCTCTAACCCCTGCCCCCCCCACCAAAAAACCAAAGCACCAGGAGGGAAGCTGGGAGTGCCGTGGAGGAGCCCTGCATGACTCATTGGAATCAGGTGTTCCAATGATAACAAGAGAGTTGGGGTTTGTCCACGAAGGGAGCTGATGTAATCAGATTTCATGATAAATATTTTCCTGATTCAGTGATCATTTTTGTTAATCATCTGGGCTGCATTTCCTCTCTTTTGTTCACCGAGGATGAACAATGGTGCGGTCACTTATGCGGGATAACTCAGATGAATTGCTGATTTAAACATGGACGTACAAGGCAAAGAATTATGTGCAGGTCTTTCGCCATAAATAAGATTCATTAAGACGCTGATAAATGCACGTTTCATATTATTGCAGTATTTCTTCTATGGGGCACTTTCTGAACAAATCAATACTGGTCTTTGTGGTGATTAGAGCGCTGATGGATCAGAGCCAAGCTGCCCTTTTAATGGTCAGATTTTCCATCAACATGACTCTGGATCACTCTTATTCATCATAATTGGTAAGGACATGGGTATCTGGAAACCTTCGTTTCCCTGCAGCATCATTTAGGTGACGTATGGTGAATATAACCTGTCACTCTGCCACATACTAAGTCATCTGATTGGGAGAATTCATATTCCGTAGGTCTCGCTTTCATTTATCTGGAGCTCATTGACACTGAAAGAAAGCGACCCCATGAAAACATAAAGTGACCTTGGAGTAATGCTTGTCTTATGTTTGAGACACACATCCAAAGAACCGGCTCTCTGGCTCCCTAACTGAGAGAAATAGGAAAACTAAACAGATTCTGAGGGTTTATACTGACTTTCCCTTCTTAAAAACTCATTACTGAGATATCTGTACTTGACAGACAGAAGGAAGGCTTTCTTTCTCAGTCTTCCTCAGTCTCAGTCTTCTTTCTCAGCCCGTTTGATCCTGCATGGATCAAATAGTAAGAGACGTGAGCCAGATGCTAGACTGTCTGCTGACAGCACTAAGTTACTCAACACTGCTACTGAGTCAAAAACTTCTTCTAACCAAATACAAACATTTTATACATATATTTCAAACATTTGGAGAACTCTTTACTCCTGGACCTTAAGGTTGAGGTAAGCAGCAAAAGGCATAGATTCACTTTCCATCCTCCGGGGTCTAAAAATAGTCACACCACTGCTAAATAATTATTTAGTTAAAAAAACTAAAACAAAAAATGTTTGTAAAGCAAATTCGGAATAAATCCAGCATATGCTTACCTTTTAAATGACAAAATGGGGGATCAATCACCTTTGGAAAGCACAGATGAGATTCTAAAATGAACAAACACTGCCATCTGGAGGAAGTCCAGTAGTGTATTGAAGATAATTCGAAGCATGTCAAGAAACTTGGAGGAATGCCGGCTTTTGTCAAGCTGCTTTGTTTGAGGAAGAGTAAGTTCCCCCGAGTGGTGGAACTTTATAAAGTTGTAACGATGGCCTGTTGCCCTACCTCTGTATTCTATATATGTCAACATCAACTAGACTAATTTTAAAATAGCTTCATTTGGAAGGAAAAAAATCACCCCATCCAAATTTGGAAAAAGAAAAACGAAACAAAGAGTGCAAAGAGAAACCATGAAGGCACATTCAACCCTTTGAGCATACAGAGTGGAGAGTTGTGACAAAGACACATCAGCACCATTGGGATCAAAGACACAGTGATGCTTGAGGTCATCCAACTTACACCAATACAGTGTCCAGAGGGAGTAGAGTGAATCACAGAGACCATCTGTATTCCTCTGTTTGTCAGCCGTTTGGTACCGACGTTTCTCCACACTGAACCCACATTGCCGACACCACAACTCAAACCTGCAGAGTTTGAACACTGAAATGAACAGGATAGGTTCAGTTGTGAAGTGCTCACCTTTGGTTAAACATCCCTCTGAAGTTGTAATTTGCTCTGTAGTTGGGCATGGGCTTCGGATCCAAAGGTCTGTAGATAGCTGGCTCCCCTCTCTTCATGGCCAGACCATTCAGCTCCACTGTGGGTGTTATACTGCCTGTGTTAGTGAGCGGGAGCCAGAAAGGACAAAAATATTAGAAATTAAAAGTAAATAAATAACACTTGTAAACGCTTCTTTTGAAAGCAGTATACTGTGAAACATGTATCAACAACCCTGTAAAAAAAAAAAATAGAATAAATTAATCTATTAAGAGTCTATCCAAATATTGCTTATTGCTTTTTTAAAACCAGTCATCTGAGCTTTACCTAGCAGTAAGTCTCAATTAACCACATTTTCATTGGTTGGTTAGTTGTGGAAGAGTGAGAAGTAGGATTCGTGTTTGTTTTAAAGTCTGCTAAATATTTCTACAAGTATTTTTTCTTTAAAGTACTTTAAAAATAGAATAAATAAACGTCATAAAAATATCTGTAAAAGGTTTAAAGTCGGTAAACCCAAATGGTGAAGGTGAGAGCTAATGTTTCCTGAACATGGTCATGCACTGATTTTATGTGCAAAAGGTTGAGGTTGATGTCACGAGTACGTGAGAAAAACAGCAAATCTGGGAAACCGCAAATGAAGCACAGCAAAAAGCCAACATTTAGAACATCTGGAAGATATCGTATAAAATTTTAAGTTGCTCAACCAAAGCATAAACACCCGGAACCCCACTTCATGCAGAAATAACTAGATGTGAACTGGTTATATGGCAAAAAGCATTGTGGAACACATCTTTTTTTAAACTTCTCATTGTAAAAAATGTGTAGGAATGCTAATTTGTTTTTACACTGGACGGTGGATGATGTCATGAACACATCTAAAATACAGAATGGAAGTATCTTTTACAGAGAAAAGGATGAACTGATGGAATTATTGTAGAAAACATGTTTGAGTGTTTATATGTTTGCAGACTGACCCTTATTACATTATTATATTAAACAATAAGTCTGTAACTATAAGTGTATGCATTTTAGAGAATTTATACATTATTATTAAATATTAGTGTTTGAAAACACTTGGTTGCACTCAGATAAATGTTGATAAAGGACAAGCTTCACCTGGTTCCAATGAAAAAATGGACTTAAAGTTCTGTCATGTGGCTGTATACATAAACGATAAAGACTTTGTCTGCTGTACCTGGGTTACTGTTGATGTCAACTTTAGGGGAGCGAGGTGCTGGTCTGGGAAGGACACTCTCAGCCAGTGCTTTGGCAGCGGTGGAGTGCTGAGCCTTTTTGATGCTGGTGCCCTCCGCCTCCCACACCTGCTCCCCAAGTGTCAGCTGCACGGTGAAGATCTGGAAAAGTAACACCCAAATAAGAAGGACATCACCTGGCAGGAATAACGTCATTCTGGGGCTCACAAAATGTCAGTTGTATAAATTAGACCTTTTTATTTTCTTCATTCAATACAATGTACACATTTATCATCACTAAAGACTGGCCAAGCCAACCTCTGTCTGGCTATTGGTCCATAGAGCACTGGTTCAATAATTGAACCGCTACCTCCAAATCAGGAGTGACAGACAGATAAAACTTGATCCGGATACAGGAGGCAGAAAGTACGTTTCCTTTGGAGGGTGACCGAGGGGTGAGCACAACCAGATGGAGTTCAGCGTGAACAGCTCCTTTTCCAAATTTGAAAGGAGTCAGTTGAGGTGGTTGGGATACCTCCAGATCACCTCCGTGCTTAGGTTTTTCCAAGCATAGCAGAGAAAACTCAGAACACATTATGGGGATTATATTTCCCATCTGGCTTCAAATTCCCCAAGAAGTGGAGAGCATCGGTGAAGAGAAGGATATCAGGGTTTGCCTCCTGAGCCTGTTATCTCCACAACCCCATTGGAAGATAACGGATGAATGGAATGTTGCAGACTTGGCTTGCACAGCTGACCTTAACAAACCGAAACGCCTACTGATTCAATCAAATATGTCTTAAAGTTTTCCACTGTTGCGAGAAAAAACATACAAATCTCTTTCAATCTTTGACTGTTACAAAACATTTTTACCATTTCATTCGTTTATTTAATGCAGTTACCAAAAACTGAATCATCCAGCTCCTGATTATGAATGAAATCATGAATAAAATCAATGAGCTGCTGACCTAACGTTAAAAGAATTCAAGTAAGTATTAATTTTTAAACAATGTCCCAACCTTTTTTCATTTAAGGCTGCACAACTTACACAACTCCTCACCTTAGCGTGTGCAGGGCCTCGCTCGTTGAGGAGCTTGTACTGTGGCTGGATCCTGTTGAAACGGGCTAACTCATTCACCAAGCACATTGGAGTTTTCTCTTTAGGGTTTGCCATGTTCTCCTGGGGCGGACCTTAAAAGAGTTAAGCAGGACACAATACTCAGTGTAACGTGGTAAATTGACCAGAAATGAGAGCTATATGAGGCCTTCCTGTCAGTTGTCACTTTCAGGTCACTTCTTACATTATAAAAATAATATTATGAAACTTTGTTATAGCTTCAACAGTGACAGAATAGTCTAATCTTAACCTGTTTATGTGTGATATGAGGTAGTACATTGTTTGAGCAATAACTGCAGTCCTTACAAATAAAAACCTGTTGAAAATCATAAGTACTCCAATAAGTTCCAGACACTAATTTAATCTGTTTAATTCTGTTAGTGTGCTACCTGGTTGTGGGACAGACACAGGGGCGTCCCCATATCCGACTGAAGGAGCTGGGCAGGCGGGTGTGGGGGCCGGGCCTGTGCCATTGACGGATGGCTGCAGACCCAGGGATCCTGGGCTGGCCATGGCTGTTGGGGCAACAGTGGGGGAGAGGCCAGGACCAGCCAGGGGCGCTGCGGTCTGTACTTTCACTTGAGCCATGCTCTATTCCTGGAAACATATATATATTCAGTCTGGTTTTTTTTCAGTGTGCACATATAACTTAAGGCAAATAGACAACAGTCACACCTTTAAATAAAACAATGAGCTAAAACTGAGATATACAGCACAAAATGAGGACGTACACCCACACACGCACATATATATATGTGTGTGTGTGTGTGAGAAAAAAAAAAAATCCATTTTAATACAGCTTAAAGCTCTTCCCAGTCAGTTGTGCCATGCCTGAGGAGCAGTCCCCAAACTGAGCAGCTCTAGGCCTATCTTACATTCTGATCCACTGACTGTTAATACACCCCAACAATGAAGCTTTATTTGAAGGGGCTTTACTCATGTTACTGCTCCCAAACCCTCTGGAAAAAAAGGAGGCCCACGATAATAGCCCCGAAGAAGACAGCGGACAGCTTCTCGTTTATGGGAGATAGCCACTAAGAGGAAATTTAATATTTTACTTGTATGTGATGTGCAAAAGGGCGGACATAAGGCTGGACCCCAGTGGACTGATAGACACATAAGTGGCTGGCAGCCCGCATGCCAGTGTACTCAACTCTTTAAGTAAACGTAGTCATTTTTACAGGTGTGACCTGTCAAAGTTTAGACTAAAAGCATTGGAGTTGTCTTTTCGGTCAACTTTTGGATAGGTTTTTTTATTTTATTTTTTAAATAAGCCCAAATGCATCCTCTACTCTGGCGCGAGACGTCAATTAACTGCACTCGACCAGTTCATCCTGTTACTATCAATGTTGCATCTGCAGAACTCCTGAAGTACAACGGTGGGGGTTATGGGGGGTTGTCACTATCTCTCATGCTTCTCTGACACTGTTCGAACTTCCTTGAACAAACACAATGCTGAACAGCTGCTTAAGAGCAGCACAGGCTGAGTCTACATGTTAGTAATGTCAGGGTGTACTGTCTGAGCTGAGGACTGTCTGCAACCCCTAAACGTACATCACAGCCTCGGCTGTGCCCAGCTTAGCAGGAAGCTAACGACACCAACAAGAAAACGCCGTTTCCTTTATATGTCAGTTCCAAAAAGACACGCTGACATAACGAACCAGCTTGCATGCTGTCATGAGTGTGTCACTGTGATTTCTCCACATTAATACATTTAATTAAGCCAGCTCCGGTTACGCTTGTTTAACCGGTAGAAGCTCATCATGGCTGATCGGCCGAGCACCCCTCTTGCTAGCATCTCCACACCGCCCCATATTTCATGAAAGTCTGAGGGTTTTCAGTCTACCCAAACATTGAAACAGATTGTTGACAGCATGACGATTACCACAGACGTTACTCGACAACAAAAGCGCGAACATATAAGGGGATTTTTACCTTTGTCCAGGGCCAAACCCCAGTTACACCTCCAACATTGGCAAACACTAAAGAGAACTGGATGGAAGAGGGGAACACACCATGTAATATTTCTGCGATAGAAACATAAATTACATAATTTTTGTGCATATGACTGAGAATGGTGGACTGTCATTTATGCATTGTGAGCTGACCATTTTACCAGTATTGGATATTTGAGACTCTATAACAACACCCTTAGAATATGAGGTGGCTGCTGAATGAATCGGCCACCCCCCTACGACATGAATGGTTCAGTCCAGTTTTGCTTGTCAGAAAGCTAGAGTAACTTTTGATTCAAAATGTCTTTTCTTCTTTCCTCACGATAAAGTTGGATTATGTCTCTATTCATTTACATACTATCGTGATATATTTATAATATTAATTTTAATATAAGTTATATTTTCAAATAAAATATTCCTATTTCTGGTTTGGTTTATCCTGCCAATGTTCACTAACTGGCTGTTTAATTGGTTTATAATTAGATTTTTTCCCTCTCATATTGCAATTGAAACTGATTATTTAAATTACATCTGCTTATATACCATTTTGTCGGGGAGCTAAATGATATACGCATGAGACCTGAAAAAAGGAGCCAGTACAATCATAAAACGACAAGAGTAAAAAAACACTTCAGCCACTTGTGCAATTACAGGAAAAAAATAATCATGACGGGGATCTAACAAGAAAGGCCACACAAATTCCAATGCAACAATTTTTCCTAATTTTCTAACAAAGGGGCGTGTGAAAAATAGTCAAAATACATTCAACTCTACTTACAGACATAAATATTTTCAAGTGACCAACAGAGGGCGCCACTTCACAACTGTTTTAATTATAGATGGCTGTCCGAAAGACACGCATTTCTGTCTACCTGTAAAATTCAACTCTTTTCTATCTAAATGTATCTTCTTTTTATGTTTTTGTTTTCAAAAAATGTTATCCTTGATTGTTTGCTATACAAGCGATTACAATTTTTTTTAGTCTTCATCTTTTTAGTTCCACCTCACTGCATTTCAAAATAAAATTATGTATCACTTTTCTCCAATTAAAAGTTGAAGTCTCTTTTCAGATGAAACCCTACAATTTTATGTGCTATCTTTTATCATTTTCCATTTGAACATTAACCAAAGAAAATAACTCAAATGACCTATTTAATAGTTTTCCCCAATTTGATCGTACAGTTTTTAGTTTGGATTTAGCATATTTCAACTATCACTATTAATTTAAATCTAAAATTTCTACCCTGCACTCAAGTATTATCTAAACACTTTTCTTTCCTGCCTGTGCAGGAAACACTTCAGATGACTGACAAGTGGACATCCCATGCTTAATGGTGAGAATAACATTTTATAACACATTTTTGGTGTAACTGGACACCTCCCTAATAATCAGTTAAACCCAGATTTTTTACATGAGTACTTTGACATACCAATTTTTTCTTAATTTCTTTTAGTGTTCATTTAGATGAGGGTGAGGTGAAAACTAAATCAGTAACACGAATATTAAAGTTATTTGGACATTCTGGTGGAAAAATGAAACAGACAAATGTATATACTGTGCAAACCAAAGTTGAATAAAAGTGAATCTTTGCTTTTATTATCGATTATGAAAATGAACAGGCACCTATTACATGGAGCTTGCACATCCCAGAACAAAAGTTCAAATATAAATAAACAAACCCGCATTAGTGTCCATCACTCACAACAAACGGCAAGCTAAGAGTTCAAACCACATTGAAAAGAGGAAAAAGCAACCTAAAAGGAGGGGGAAAAGTCACATCCAAACCTTTGTAACATTTTCACTCAAGCTTTTAAAATCTCATCTGATCTACTGCTGACTGGCTGGCGGCCGTCCACGTTCACTGATGGAGCTCTGACTGCATTTAAACGTTATTTCTCTGTCTTTGTCTCAGCTCATCACCGACAGCCGACAAAACCCATTAAAAAGAAGCAAAGACAAACGAAAAAAAGTTTCATTGGTTAAATATACATCTTTAAATAGATCAATATAGTTTTTGTTTATTTTTTTCATAGCAGTGCGCTGTGGTATTCTCCTCTACAGTATTGAGAATCATCACATTCACTCGAGTTCATTCAAGAAACTTCACCCTGACAAATGAAAAGGGAAAAAAATAAAGTAAGTACAAACAACCCGAGTTGGGAAATTCAAGTATCTCTTACTGGATGGCGTGAAAACATTTGTTCAGGAATGGAGTGATTACAGTCTGAAAGGACCACAGCCTCTGGAAGTGTGTTTTGTATCATCAATCCAATGAACCCTTCGCTAAGTTATGGAAAGACTAAAAAGCTGATGCCAATAAGAAAACATAGGGGTTAAAATAGCATGCATCCCAACTGTTAAACTAATTGTTTTTATTTTAAACCAACTTACATGTTTTGTGCTGACTGTACACATCCTAATTAGCAAAAGATGCAAACTAACTGCCAATGAAATAAAGCACTCCTATTATAATTCAGCTAGAGAAAATGCATCCTCTGTTAACTTCTGTCACATCATTCGACACTGCAAAGACTTATTTACAACAATTTCATACTTGTTTTAAGTTTACAACATAACAGTCTCTTTTGGTGAAAATATAGTTAAATTCAAAATATCTAATAGGTATCTTTTTAGAGGTGATCTCTTTATTGAAAAAGTACCTGAGCCAAAACTCTGACCAGGGGGGAGAAAAAACAAAACAACAACAAACAAAAAAGAGGTCACAAAAGCCTCGTCTGTACGACTCATACACAGACTCTCCTTTTTGTCATTCATTGCCGCTCTTCAGATTAAACAATGATTCAAATTAAATTACAAATTCAAAAAGAAAAAAAAATCCAAACCATACTGACCCATCAAAACGACCCCCTTCTTAAAGTATCCGCGTGTCGAAAAACAGTACAAAACAGACATTTAAAATCAAACATTTGAGAGGAAAGAAAATTAAAGCAAGAACAGTAACAATAATTTAAAAAAAGTACCATACAAATCAAAAAATTAATCGCGTAACGATGTACTCTCGCAGACATTCTTTAAAAGGAAGAGAGGCTGCTCCACATCTTAAAGGCTGGACTAGTGACAACCACCCCAACCTTTGGAGGAGATGCACACTGAGGTCATCAGATTATCCCAAGATCTATCATTTTATCCGTTTTATTCCCATCTGTACGCACATTCTGTCCAACAGCAGGAAGAACTGTAACCACATCTGGAGTTGGAAGATGAAGAAAACTGTGTACAAACTAAAACCCGGAAACCTGATAAATGGAGGACTGCTTACAGAATTATGTAATAATAGCTCCTTTTCAAACTCAATACTTCCACAGTGCAGATAATAATAACAATAAGAATAAAAACGATGAAGCATTTTCTTGGGCACTCGATGGTCGGATCCCTTCCAGAAGACGATTAGTTTTAGATTTCTCTGTTTTTGGGCCCAAGCATGCATCCATCAATTATTATTGCACAACACAAGGACCTTAAAATGCACCCACACACAAACAAAAAAGTAACAATGATAATCTTAAAACAGGAACTTTAATTATCTCAGTATAAATCTGCCTTTGTTGCTCGTTGCATCACCGCCGTTCTGCCAAAAACGATACTTTTTGGGTGCGTCTACACATTTTTTGATTTGAATTTTCTATGTTACAACGAACTAAAACATGCAGCCAACTGCCCGTTGGGGACCTGCAGTAAAGAGCCTCCAGCGTATGGTTTACACTGTTCCAGTCAAAGGTCAGAGTTCCAAGACTGAATGATTAAAAAGTGCTTTATGAAGGTCAGTAGGACTTCGTTCTTCTAAGATTATTACAAACTTTGTACATTAGCATGTATCATCTGTGAAAGGAAGAAAGAAAGAACAGTTTTATTTGTATCCCCAAATCAGTAAAACGTGTGGGGGTGGACAGAGTACTCACCATGATACCACCATTTTGTTTTCTTTGGATTTTTGTTACACGTTCTTACATAAAAGGAGTTATCAGGCGGTCGTCTCTGTAAGGAAAGAACGAAAATACGTGTTAAGAATAATCTTCCATAGAAGCACATAAACAAGATAAAGTGTCATATTTAAGAGCATGTGTACCTTTTCTTTGCAGCTGGACAACATGCTGATAATGCTAAGACAAACAGATTGCACTGACAGGGCTGGCGACCAATCCTCCGTCAGAATAGATAAACAGATGTGACCGTTGCTATACACATGTGGGTGGACAGGTATATTCTCTCCTGTGAACATTACCTACACAGTCGAAATAAAAAAAGACAAATATACTGTTGATTAATATACTGTGAATTTTTTTTTTTTTTTCATTTTCAAGACAGAACAGAAGAAAACTGAAAACCTTTGCTCTAATGGCTCAGGTTTAGCCCTTCACAGCTACATGACGCTCTGGGATTAGGGAAGAGGGGCCAGAATGGGGTGAGGACGCAGAGGAGTCAATAAGACCAGCATACAAAGAAGTGAGATATACAAGGAAGGCACTAAGAAATATTAGCCTTTACAACGGTGAAGCAAAGCTGAAGGGTAGAGAAAAGGTTTTCAGAACCTAAGTGGTAAGCAGAGGGCTGCAGGAGTGTGCGAAGAGTGGAATGAAGGGAAACAATGGGTTGAGGCAGTGTGGCCCCAGACTGGGCTTCACAGTAAAGCTCCAGCTTCACACGAGTGTAGTAGACCTGAGCAGAGAGTACAGCTAACACTACGCTCATCAAAACGTCAAGCCTGAAAAAAACAAACAAACACAAATGTCTCTAGGTCTTGTTTTTGTCTGAGGCAGACATGAGATCCACCTCTTGAAATTCACAGGTTTTGCAGATCAGAGCTACGATGGCCTTAAATTCAGCTGAACACATCTGCAGATGAACAACACAAAAAAAACCTAAAATGTTGAAGTGGTGCCTGAAAAGCTAACCACAGCTCGAAGAACCACCTGCGGATGCATCCATTTCAGTTCACCCTTTAAATTCTGTCAGACAGAATAATGATGTCCGTGTCCCACTGACACAATGGCGTCACTCTACGTTGAGTATCTTTGGGTTTTGGACTCTGGGTTACATATCTGTAGACATTACTTTGCCCTCCTTTCATATTACTGCATTAACAAAAAATGTTTCAAACAAATCAACCCATCAATGCCCCAGTGAGACAACTTCAGCTGTAACTACGAGGTCAATTCGGGTTTTGCTGCCTTCACATGTCAAGTGAAAAAGGTACACAGCCGTCTTCAACATGCCAAGAAACTACAAAGGCAATCAGAAAAAAACATAAGAATTCCACTAAATCACATGACCTGGAAAGATCTGCAGAGATTGGTGTGTTGCAACGTGCTAAACACAGGCCAAGTCAATTTTAAAACAATCATTCATTATGCATAGTAAATAAAAACTACTACAGAACTAATTTGGGTAGAAAATCAGCTAATTCCCTTAAAGTAACCGGGTTTCAGAGGAGAGCGACTTTCACAGCTGAGTTTTTTTTTAACCAAAGCAGCTAAAAAGACAGATAGAGAACTTAGTTCAGCTTTAAAAGACCAAACTTTATTCATGGTAAACGTGACATTTGTTTCTGGCACATGAGTTCTCAAACTGATGCTGATGCAAAAATTGCATCTAATGCACTGCAGAAAGTCATAGGTTCCTTTTGGGGCCTAGTTAGACAACTCTGACAGACTGTGACTAAGAAGCTACTTTCAATCGATTTTCTCTCTCCTGCCTATTTATAGGGGTCTGACGCCTAGTGAGGAAAGCAGGAGTGTTGAGTTAGATGACTCCCACTAAACATGGCACAGAGTGGATTAATGGAGGACTTTAACTCAGAGCTGTCAGTCCAGGTACCTGATTATATCATTTGTTTTACAATAGGGGCCACTGGCCGGGGAGAGGGAGGTCTGGGCCTCCCTGCTTAAACTATTGCCCCTGCGACCGACCCCGGATGAGCGGAGGAAAATGGATGGATGGATGGATGGATTGATGGATGGACTGATGAATCAGGACAGTTAAGACGAGACTACCCACATAAGCTCTAAGCCTGTTCACTAACAAGCAGCATGAACAACGAGTGAAGCTTTCTGATCATCTTAACACATGACATCCCACGTCCATCTGAAACAATGGTGGAGGTGCTTACCTGAGGTGAATCGAAAGGATATCGACTACTAAACTTGAAAAGAAGCTGGAACTTCTCTCCTTCATAGAGTGTGCCAGGTGCTCCTTCCATGTCTACAATCCACCTAAAAGAAACATAAAGTATTCAAAAAATGTCTAGATTGTTTTCCCAAAGATAAGAACAGGTTTTTGAAGTGAACACAGGTCTAAACATGAAAGCCTTTATGTTCAGATACGTTCTAGACCCTGACACACATGTTGAGTACAGGCTTTTTAAAATTTTTATTCGTTCAACACTTTAAAGAAGGATCTCTGACAACAGACTGAAATATGTGTAATGGCTTTTCACCTAGCAGCACACCAGTTAAAAAATCATATGAGGGGGTCCATCACTCTTTACCTAGCAGATCAAGCTTTACCTTATTTTATCTTCTCTTTACTGTTCAAGTAAACAGACAGCCACCCCTTGTCTTCAAAGTGGCGGCTTTTTATTCAAAGTCGGACAGACCAATATTATGATTTATGACCTCTGTACATTTGAAGAAAATAAAAAAAAATAAAAATGGGCGTAGCATCAGCCTGCTGAGAATCCCCAAACTGACAGAGCTAACACAGAATAATATGAATGCTAGCCAGAGAACGCCATGTTGGCAGCCTCTGTGATCCTTCATTGCTTTCAGCAATGGAAAAAGAACACATCACAAGGAAAATGTAGGAATTATATACAGTAAAGCCCAGATATTTTATAGAGGAGAAATTTCACAAATTTGGTGCGCAGCCTGAGCACAACCTCCACACAATAAATAGTCCCTAGATGTTGCCTGACAAGACTTTCTTTTAGTGTAACAAAAGCAACTCCCTGAAAGCCCAGAAGCAGCAGGCTGTGGCACCGCAAACACTGTAGGGACACAACATAGCTCAGTTTCTTTTAGGTTTTATTTGCACAACTAACACTGTCCGGTTACCTGCAGCATTGTGCTGTTGGATTTTAACTGACAGAAGAGGGTTGGTCTGGAACATGGGGGGAGTTTAGGAGACAATTAAAATGTTTGGGCAATGAGCAAAGGAAAAAAGGAAAAAAAATTGAAATTTGCTTGTTAATCTTAAAAAATAAAAAGATTGTAAGCTTGGGGAAAAAACGTGTTTCTCATAACTGCGCTCAGTGCATCGCTAACATATTAGTCTTTATGCAGCCAGCTACAAAATGACTGTTTCAGATAAAATGTACAATTCATGTTCAGGTTGATTATAAAACTGAAGCAGTAGAAATATCAGAGTTTAGTTATTAACAATAAATATCTGCATATGCAAGAAAAATCAAATAAAAATAAATGAGCATTTCTTCATTAAATTCTAAAATGCCTCTCATCATGTCACCGTGTCAGGTGCAACACTTCCTTTAACAGAGAGGCAGTTTTTGTTCCATAAAAAAATGTAGCAATGTTTTCTTTTTCTTACAAGTCTATTCCCTTTGATAACTTTTCAGCAGTTTAACTACATGCGGTATAGACTGAGTGTGGACTGAAAAGCTCTAACTCTGATTCATTCCAGTGACATTCAACATTTGGCAGGGTTATGAGCGAGGTTTAGTAAAATCGTGATACTCTAGCAGTGTACAACATTACTCACTAGTGACCACTTCGGTAGCTGTGCAAATTATGCCATTATGAGGCCACCTGAGCCATGTTTCATAGAAGTTTGTAACACAGCTAACTGAACCTTTACTGACAGACAAACCAAATGTTTTGAGTCCAGCCCCCCCCTTCCCATTTCAGGTTTCACCATTCTGCATGACTCGTCAAGCTACTTCATCATCTAAATAATCATAAAGCAATAGAGAGACTTTATATGTATATGCACACACACACATATATATATATATATATATATATATATATATATATATACACACACACACACGCACACACACACACGCACACACACACAAAGAGAGTTCTACGAACAAAAGCTATCAAGCTGAAAACACACAGTCACCTTACTGACGTCACGTACATGACAGTGTCACCTGTCTCTTGTCGACAAATTTGGATTAGGTTAGAAGGAAATGCTCATTTGTATCATACTCCCAACAAGACTAAAATCCCCACTGATGGAATTCTTGACAACAGAAACCCAACCCCAGCCGAGCCATTTCAAAGCTGAGAGGTAAGCACAAAAGGAAACGGCTAAACATAACATCACATACCTGTGATGCAAAGTAATTGCAAAAGCCAGCTAAACTGGTTGAAAGACTTGCTAGTCATGTAAAAAAAACTAAAAGAAAAACAAAAAAACAAAAAGATAACATTAACTTGATTGTCCATGAAGATGCCAATAATAGCAAATGTTTCCTTTCAACCCGACAAAGACAAACACTGTAATGAGTACTGAAAGCAAAGATGCTGGAAGACGCTCAAAACAACACAGTATGGTATTAGCTTTAAAAGTCAAAGTTGCAGATTAAAGGCATTTGAATCACAACCAGAAATCACTTCTAATTTATTCAAAATGACAACCAAGATAATTTTCACCCCTTATCAGATAGAATTTGGCTCATACAGGGAAGGTCCCTGTATCCATGAATTGTATCGGTAGACGCTAAGACAAAAAGGTAGCCTCTGTTTCTACATGTTACCCAAGCCCAACTCCAGCATGCCAACCACTAAATACTTTATAAGAATGAATAGTGACACTCTGCCTTAAACATACTACTGAGAGGGCAGATCTGCCAGTCAGGGTGGAATGACCCCGATTCTTCCTCAGTACTCACTGAGGCTTTTGTCATACCTCCAATCACAGCCATTGCAATAGCAACCTGCTCCACATGCACCCTTTTCATGGCAATGACTTAATTTTACAGAATGCAATCACTGTAATCACGATAGAGGTTTAGGTGGTGTTCCCAAATAATAAAACAAAAATAAAACAAAATACTTACTGTGTGATGGTGTTCTGTACACTCTTCTCGTTAAGTGTCATTCCCGGGGGCGGATCATTTTGCAGGGCTAATAATTCTTTTTGTAGCCTTTTCTGTTGGAGAGAGTACACTTAAGTTTTGGAACAGTTTCAAAAAGGAAGTACAAATATTTCCCCATCTGTTTTCCCAGATCCTGGCACATAGCTGAAATTTTTTTTTCCTTTGATAAGAAAGCCAATAGCGGAGGGTGTATGAGCACGAGGGGACAACCCGTGACGCACAACAGATCTGAGACTTTGACAGCCTAGAATTTAACCACTGAAAAGCCCTGAAAAGTATATTATAAAAGAGATTTGTTACAATGCTGGCATGATTTAAGTTCTCTCTCCCCCCCTTGTTTTCTTAACAAAGTCTTAGTAGCAGATGTCAATAATACAGGTAGTAACCTGTCAATACATGTATTGAGCTTTTGACGAGCTTTTTAAAAATGATATTGCCAAGTCAAGAAGTCAAGAATGGTAATAGCATCTTAATCTATCATGTACAAAATTTTAAATCAGACCCTGTATTGAGGCCAACATTTTTTTCTTCTCATTCAAGAATGTTTTTATTTTCTCTGTAATTGAAAAACTAAGAAAATTTTCTATTCTGTTTAGGTTTATAAATTAACACCCATAATGCATATTGACAAATGTCTGGATAAATTATTTAGGCATTGAGGCTGCGGTCAACGTGCTCTAACATTAGTTTGTGTCAAAATTCTGACCATTTGAAACTATTTGAGGCTGTCGGCTCTTAAATGTAATAATTATTTTTTTCAAAAACTGATAAACAGTCAACCAATCATACAAACTGTCGAAACGTACTACGTTCAGGACAATTGTGTTTCCTCGTGACTTCAAAAAGCAAATGTTTCTCAATATCCTTTGTCAAATCAATACACCTGTTCGGAACAGCAGAGACCCGTAAATTCACAACCTGCGCATCGTATCATTAGTTGGTTATGTGAACGTAGAAAATAAACAGCAAGCGTTTGCTTAAAAATGTTAAGTTATTTTGTATTACTATATCACATTTCTTGAATTATCTTTCTTGTTCGTTACGAATAACAACACTGCAAAGCATCAACACGTAGTTCCAGGAAGCTAGTTTCCTCGCTAGCCTTGGTTGCTGTTGATGAGGATGATGATGGGCTAGTTGTGTTGCTAGCTAATACCAAGCGCTAAACCTGAGTAGTTTCGGAGAGAATACTTCGCTTTTACCAGCATGACATAGCTGATATAAATGACTATGAGGGAGCTAATAAAACGGATGACAGAGAGAAAAAAAACAATACAAGAGTTGTCCGAGAATTTTGCAAATTTATAATCGCTGTCACTAGTATTCTTACCTGCATCGACGCCATGATGGAAACCCCCCCCACCCGCATCAACGCAGAGTGGAGGACTGTACGTCGTCGAGTCACGTGACAGAAGTTGTTGCGTTAGAAGAGAACGCTTCACACCTACAGACGTATGCTCAACAGTGCGATTCACCCCGACACCCGATCACTTTGTATTATAAGTAAGAGAGAGGACGCTGTTGCTTCACGGATGAACAAAACACCTCGTTTTTAGCAAGACAGAAATACACGCAGTGTTAAAAATCCAATAAGGTCACATGACATGAGGTGCGCCAATGACCTCTGCAGAAGGAGGGATGACCTGTCAAACATTCACCGTCAAATCAGATATCAATTTGAATTTGGTCCTGTCGTTGTTAAGATGTTTTTTATTTATAATAGAATTCCTTCCGTAGTGGGACTTACACGAAGGGCTTTAGTCGTATTAATAGATAAATGCATGGATGCTTTATAATGCAATACATCCAGGTTGAATGTAGTTTGATCAATGCATCCTGTTGTGTTCCGATTTAACAGGAAAAAAATACATCTCATCGTGAGTTGTAAAAGAAGCTCCTATGTTATATGGCTGAAATGTTGTGACATTGTCCAGATTGTAACTCAGATTTTCAATAAAAACTCAAATCCAACACAATATTTCCAATTGTCATTTGAATTTCAGATTTAATTCCCATAATTGAAAGAGCTTAATCGAGCTGCATTGTATTTTTTTTAGCAAATGCACACCTGACAGTTTCAATAGCTTTTGAAACACACTGGGTTTTCCCTTTTACAAAAAAAACTATTCTTATTTTCAGAGGTACTAAAAACATTGGCACCTAAACATTTGGTGCATCTGAATGCTCCATAGTAGTTCCCTACTCTCCTAATCCTTTCAATACAGTATGAATGTAGTTGATAGATATTGGTTTTGTATTTATTGTTGAATAAAAAGTTCTGCAAGACATCATTTTTTGTTTTCATCTTACATTTACTTCATTCTCAGTTGTGCATTGTTGCACTCGTGTCCTAATATGTAAAACAGAATTCATCAAAGGGTGCACTATTAGTTGCCCTTCAGTTAACTGAATTGTATTAAACATGTTTATTATCAGTGATATTTTGATCATGTGGAATAAAAAACTGCACACAAAGTGCTCACCAAACAGGTCTTTAATAGGGTGGAGAGCTGCGGAAAGATATTTATAGAAGAGGGTGCAATCACGCCATTCTTGGCCTGTCATTTTTAAATGACTTCTCTTAATATCGAGGAAATGACAGGACAGAAAAAAAGGGGAGGAAAAAAACAACAAAAAACTTTGTCATATGAAGTAAACAGCAAACAAGTTAAATATTCAAACACAAAAAAAAAGAAAAAAAAAGTTTTAAGTGTTCACATTATATTTGTAACTTTAGCAATCCAAAAAGTTTGCAGCCATAAGCAGTTCCAGTGCAATCTCCGGAGCGATGGGGAATTCTGGTATTTCTGTGGAGCTGTTGGTGTAACGGACCTTGTAGGTGAAATACATGCAGACCTTCGACAGGACATGAGATGGAATCTCCCTGAAGTTCACTTCATTGGTTTCGTTCTCAGCGAATTGTCCTGTGGCAAGACAGTTGCAGCAGATGAAAGCAATCAAAATAAATGACAACTCATATATCATTTCTACACATCTTCTAAAGTATGTCTGTAAAGTACGAAAATATATTATCTAAAAGGATTCCACGCAATGGAAAGACAAATATACTAAGAAATATGAACAGTAATCAACAACCCATCAGCTTTAATGAGAGAGCAAAGAGGCTGATGACAAAATACATGAATCTTACGAAATGAGAAAAATAAAATATTATGGAAGCACAAACATCTATTCTGTATATTTAGCACAAACCTGGACACATCACTTTTGTTTTTGTGACCTTATGGAATATAATACAGTTAAATGAATTTACTGGTCAGCCAATCATATCCAAGTCAGCAAGACCATGGCTGATTATTCACCGTAAACTGGTCAATCACTAAGTATCCTCTATTTTAAAACATCTTAAAAAAAAAAAAAACATACTTCTCATGAGGCAATTGATAGCTATGCTTCATTAAAGATTGGAATATGGGTCACAAAAGACCACATTGTATAAAATGGTGGAATATCTGCCAGAAAGTTTAGCCTAATAATTACAGGTCAGTAACAAGACCTTAAATAAAAAGGCTCTCAAATAAGGGCAAATCTTTTATTATATAACACCTCACTGTAATAATATACATTTGTTTTTTATCATCATACACGTGTACTTTCAGTAATGCAGACAAGTAATACCGTTTATTGTATGAATCAACTGGAACCTTTTTTCCATGTTACATATTCTCTTTTAAATGATGAAAAACACATTGTTCCTATTCTTAAAATTAGTCACCATTACTAACCTGGACCACTTAGCATGGCTTTGATAGTCCCAGATGTCAAAGCGTGTTCTCTTTTAACGATGAATTCATGGCCATCTGAAGAAATCAACTTCACATACATGGCATCTGGCCCTTCACAGCCACCATAGGTTCTCTCCTCACCATCTGTAAAGCAACATAAAGAAAGAGGTCAAATGCTTTAGTGCCACATAAATTATTGAATTTTTTAGTGACTTAATACCAATAAGTTTATCAGTGAAGAAACAACCCACAATGTGACAAACAGTGCATCAGTAGGCTGGTGAGGAATGTTATTTTCTAGAAATGTACTGTGTAACCAACAATGTTTCTCACCCATCTTTTTCCGGGATTTCTGTTAATTCTGAAAGGGAAAATGAAACACACAAAACATTAGAAGTATGAAAAACAGATAACTTGGTAACTAAATAAACCTTAGAACAAAAAACAAAGTGAAGTAGTCGTGACATCCAGGGAATTTGACTGGGATTGTTGTTTAAAAGGCCTTGCTCCTTTCAGCAAAATACTGGCCTTTACATTTTCTTGAGTAATTTTGGACAATCACTGCGTAATCTAAACTTTCGGCTGGGTTCAGTCCGCAAGAGATATTTGTTAAAGGAAATATATTATATAAATAAATCAACATATCAACGTCTGTGGATTTTCCAAACTAACCCCAAAGCACATATAGTTCGGCTATCGCTTTCTAATCTCACGTTTACAATATTTTTAACTGAGTTCGTGTTAGCTAGCAAGCTAGCGCATTTTCAATTCAACCCCTCTAAATTGTATTTGGACCCTCCACACATAAAACATGTATTTGATCATGATCCCAGTAAAGAAAAACCTTGTATAGTATTTTCAGTATATCGAACAACGTTTCTTACCACCGTGCAGTTGGATCCGTGGCGGAGATTGTATTTCAGCTAACGCTAGCCGCTAAGTTCTTGTCCCCCGGAACTAGTTTGTATACGCACAGGTCCGCTAAAAAAATGTTCCGGAGAAATGACAATCCCCACTAAAAAGTGTAGTTATGTTGAGAATAAAAATATATAATAATTCAAAACAAGTTATAATTCCTAACTAAATGTAAAAAATAGAAAATACTGATGTTTTTAAATCCTTAATAATAAACAAAGACACCTGTTTATAAACCAAAAATATCATATACGAAATTACTGTCACTCTATTCAATTAATGCTTTAAATCTACCATAGTCACAACACACTCAGTGTTAAAGATTATGCCAATAGTTTATAGTGTCGAATTAGTGTTTTCATTTACATTTTTTCCCAAACAGTGATGACTCTTCAAATTTTCAAAAGTAACACTGGCCAACAGAAAATTACACTATTTATTCTATAGGGGGCGCCTGAGGTCCAGATTAACATCCATGACAGCCCTTTCTTTATGTGATGAACAAGGGCAGGTGCTTATGGGACTTGACAGAGACATTTTGCTGGGCCATAAATCTAGGTTCACCAGAGAAGGAATGTCCCCGGCACCCTTATACATTCTCCAAGGTCCACTCGGAAAAAAATGAACAGGTCCATCATACAGTTAATTATTTTGAATTTATAAAGTTTTGCAAGTAAGGTGTGAACAAGATCTATGACACATATGTATATTCTATCATTTCAAGACTATCTAAAATATTGTTATTTAACTACATAATCTGGATGATTAGACTCTGCCATCATGAAGTCTTGTTAGAAAAGAAAAGCGTGTGTCAGAATCGGTCGAGGGACATGCCCACGCTAGTGCTCATGGTTTGGTTCAGAATGTGGCTTTGCCCTGATTTTGCTTGAAAATTGTTTCATGCAGGAAAAGTGATGACTATTGAAATCTGAGGCTTCCAAAAGGACGCAGAGTTATCTGAGCTGTGACACAGAGTAGAATACTGAGCATGCCTGTAAATTGTGCCATTTGACCCAGAGGTGGTGTGTGATGGAGGGCAGTGCTCCTCATGCGTAAGGATGATCACTTGGAATAGTGTTTCCCTTTACTCTGCTGTACATTTGTAGTATGATGTAAATTGATAAGCAGTTTTTCCAGACTTCTGTGGCCATTTTTGTGTGATTATCTCTGCTTATTGCTACCACAGACATTAGGGATGACGTAAACTTGACAGGTGATAACTGAGCTGGTGTATATTTTACATTTATGCCAAGTTTATCAGTGCTTTCGCTTTGCGTTCCAGAAGGTTCAAACCACCTCTGTGACTCACTGTATTACTTCTTGAATCCCACACATACCCATGCACGACCAAAAACAATCACTGACCTTCCATTCCCCCATTACACCATTAGTACTTGTGATCAGAGGGGGTGGGTGGCGGCAGAAGCTTTGATGTTTCTCTGATACGACCCACCCGGCTGCAGCTGCTCTCAGCTCTATTTTAGGGAAGCTGCTGTGGGCCCTCGGAGCAGGGCTTCCTTAACACACACATAAACATGCAGTACATGCAAGCACCCATGTCCTGCCAAGTGATATTCACAGTCCCTTCAGCAAAGTCGTGTGTTTCCTCAGATTTGATCCTCTTATAGTTGTTGAAGCCCCTTACACCTTCAACTTTGTTTTTTAAGGTTTTAAAAATCATAACATATTCAAAGATAATCTGGTCCTTACAAAGGCTTAAAAGTAGTTAAATATAACCTCAAATAAACGACAGGCCATGACATACATTGTCAATGTATGCAATAAAAACTGAGCCAACACTGAAAAGCAGCGTTAAAAAAACAGTACACATGAAGAATTCCTGAAGACTCAGTCATTTTTCGAGCCACCACTGGCAGCAAAAAAGTACATTTTTTATTTTTAGACATTATTTGTGTGGGTTGATTTAGGCATTCATAATTTTCAACACTGTTTCAGCTCTTTTGATATTGCTGATATTTATTCAAGCATTTCTTCCTACAGTCCAAACTCTGTAATTCTATCAGATCGGCATCAGGTCTTAGACTTGGCTGCAGAATCACTTTGATTGTTTTGTTTTATTTGATCATTTAAAATTTGACAATGTGTTCAGAATCATTTTCCTGTTCCATAATCTACATTTTAGCCTAGCTTTAATAGTCAGAGAGATAGTCTCACATTTGACTACTGTATCCCTTGGCATTTATGCCTGATTCAAACAATTACTTCGCTAAGATCACTGCTCATGTCTTTTCTCCATGACGTTGTGGAAAGGAGAAAGGGTGTGTATTTGAATTTACATTGAATTAACATTAGGATGCTGCTGGATACTGCCTTTACATTTGAATGGTTTTAAGGCATTTTTAATGGTTTGAGGCATCACAGAAGTTTGAATCTTGCTCATTAAATAGTTTACAGAAAAGCATGCTCTTTGTTATTTTAATATACCATGCAACTAATATCAAATTGACCAACTACCAAAAATCAACCGATGAGATCGTTCCTGAGCATGGCGTTGATAAAGAAACCCTGAATCAAACCAGGTCAGAATGGAATCAGATTATGGAACAGTGGGGGAGAAATATCTTGAGGCACTTCTTCTCTGAAAGGCTTGTCACAATAAATTTGAGGGTACTGTTCCTCTTGCCTGGAGCCATACACAGCACTGTAGTTCTCATGTTGGTTTTAATCTTATTAATCTCTGCTGGGGAGAATAATTGGTGAACCATGACAAGTCACAAGTACGTCTCTTTAAGAGAACAAATTGGAATTTAATTTCATATTTAAAAATAAATAGTTTCAGAAGATTATTTTCTATGTAGTTTCATGGAATTTGTCCTCAAAGCCAGGTAAACAAAAATGGATGCAGATGTGGTGACAAAATAATTTGATTTTGGTGCATTGCATGATTTCAGGCTTGGTCATTATGAAGATGATCAGCCCTTATTCCTGTTTAGAATTTAAGTTGTCACAAAATTAGGAAGTGGGGTCTTTGCATTTCAGTCCCTTATGTACTGGACATATATTAAATCATTTGATGTTTTACATCAATTGCAACCACAAAAGCAGTGGGCAAGCATATTCCACTAACTGTCACTGTTATTCCACCTTGATTAAAGCAAAAAGTCTGAGAGAAAAGGCTTTGAACACAAAGCGATGAAGTCAATGGTCTGCGGTGTTAGCAAAGCTGTCTGATATTGCAGACCTTACGATGTAAAACCATTAATACCAATGCACCACTTCTACCTCAATCTCAACGAGAGTCTCATTAGTGGATGTGTCAACTATTTGCATTCAAAAGCTTGAGGAAACATTATGGAGGGGCTTAGCCTGCTTGACTTACATTGACTCAATATACTAACCACTAAACCATGACTCACATGTCAGTAAAAATACAAGACATAAAAAGCATTGTGCCCACTAAATTAAGCATGCATGCAAATTCTATGTATATCTTTAAAAAGGATGCAAGTGAAATTTTGTTTATTAGAACATATTACAACACTACATGAGACAGACCACTGGTATAATGAGCCACAGATAAGAGTGACAGGTTTGTTTTATAACGGAGATTTGTTTCTGTTTGTGTAACAGATGATGCTATGCTAAGCTAGGCTAGCTATGCATGGCACGGAAAGGGGATCTGCTTAATACTGATGTCTTAGCAACAGTTTTGAAAAACGCTGGCCACTGATATCTCCTCACTGCTTACAAGCCTTAATCCAATTTTAGAAACACAACCAACTAGAGTTTTACTCAGGAGGTGGAGGCTTGATCTCAGACAGAGGAGTTAAAAGTACTCACGAAAAATACATGTTTTAACTTATAAAAACAAAAGTCAGCTTCCTGTCAACATGAATCCTGAAATAATGGTCATGAAATCGTGCTTACTTAATAATAACTGATTTAAGATACACTTGTAGCATCCATTTGTACCTTTCATAGCTAAAAGTGAGCTGGATTGTGTGACTGAAGACATTTAATATAGACTTTTCAAATTTGAATGTGGGATCAATAATAATGATTTTGAGAAACAGCTTTTTTGGCAATAATACGTGTTAAAATTAAATGTAATCAAATGAAGCAATAGCTTATGTATCCCACAGGCAAATGACAATACATACATCATTACAAGTTTTCATTAAAAAAAGTTGTTGATGCTGGCAAAAAAGGACCTCTTGTAGCTTTCTTTACTACTAATTACTACTAGTTTACTACTAGTTGAAGAAGCCTTATACAATGCTGTTTCAGCCCAATCTCAGTAGTGTTCTTCAGGGCTACTTTAGCAAAATTGTTCAAGTGGCTTGTTAGTAGAAATCAGAAATGATTAAAGCCTACACAAATTACCATTAATTCACATAACGTAAAGCCAACACAGCTGTTTGCTATCAACTGTTAAAGAATAGTTTAATTAAATCACTTGTTAAGACCAAAATCCAAGATCAAGTCATTTGCATGGAAATGTGTTGTTGCAGCAAAAGTTTTGGTTTAATATGCAGTGCGCTTGTTATAATAATGATGTAACCCACACATAACAGAAATACTACAATTTTTGTGATGGAGGTAACAGAAGAGACTTGAATCAATGTGGCCAGAGACTTTATCTTTTATGGAGAATATTCTTTAATTCTGTGTACACAGGGCCACACAGCTTACATACCAAAGATGTAAAGCACAGAACAATAAAGCCACTGTATTTATGTACAGAGAAACATATCTTCTCTCAGATTCTGTTTTAAGATATAGTTTCTTTAAAAGTCTCTTAGATAACATGTATCTTTATCATTAGACCATCTCAGTGCAGTATTAAAAGTCTGGCTTTTCCAAACATACCACAAACAGCTAAAAATCCAGTTCCAAAAAAGTTGGGATGCTTATAAGTGAAAAAGAAAACTCCAATTGTTGTCAATTCTCTGATAATAAAATCTTGTAGTTTCAAAGCCAAACATAAAAAAAACAGATGTTGAAAGTCTTATGTTTTATGTCTCTTCTACAACATCATTGCTCTGTGGTAGAAGATTCTGAGAGACTCTTGTTTAAAGAAAAATAAATGCACCATTATGATAAACATAAC